CGCACGAAGCAGGCACACCACAGTTCATGAAGCTATTCACCCATCGAAGGATCTCTGGGCTGTTTCCAGTTTTTAGCTATTATGAATAAAGCTGCTATGAACAATCATTTCGGTGTGAAGTTTTCATTTCTTTGGAATAAACACTCAGTACAACTGCTGGATCACAAGGTTTAGTTTTATAAGAAAATTTCCAGTGTGGCTGTATCATTTTATATTCCTACCAGCAATGGGGTCCAGTTTTTTCACATCCTTGTCAGAATTTGGTGTTTTCACTACCCTTTATTTTAGCCTTTCTGATAGGTATGAAATGACACATAATTGTGGTATAAATTTTTTATTTTTCTTATGTCTAATAACATTGAATATCTTTTCATATGCTATTGCCATCTGGATATCCTCCCTAGTGAAGTGTCTATCAGGTCTTTTGCCCACTTTCTAAATGGATTGGTTGTTCATGCTGTTGAGTTTTGAGAGTTCTTCATGTATTCTAGATACTAGTTCTTTGTTGAATTCATGTAACTTTTAACATGTGGCTCATGAATACATGATTACATTCTGACTATAAAAATAATACAATAGAATAATATTTAGCATAATAATATGAAAGTCCCCCTCATACCCTGCTATCTAATCCCCCTCACGCCCCTAGGCGTAAGCTTTCTTGACAATTTAGTTCAGACCTTTTTTTAAATGGCACAGACACAAAATGGGCTTGATCTCTATACATTTTTCTGAAACTTTTTTTTTAAACTTAACATCTTGACATGACAGAAAATACATAGTTATGTTATTTTCTCTCTAATCATTCAGCTTTTCAACTTTTCTGTAATCCAGAAAGAAAAACAATAATACCTCGTATCTCCAGGAACCTGAAAGTTTAGAACTTTGTTTCCATGAGTGAACTCTTAAGTTGGAACAAAAAGTGGAGAAAACTCAGAGGACGGCCATGCTACGTCATGGGAAGAGAGAGCCTTGCACTATGTGTATAGGTCCAAGAGACCAGTTTCCTCCCCTGCTGCTGCCACGGCTAACTGGGGAATTTCTTGCCTATCTGAACTCTTGTTTCATCCTCAGCAGAACCACCAAATTGGACACAAATTTCTCTCAGTGCCCTGCCAGCTTTAACACACTGTCACTCAATTCTCCATGGGTGTGGGGAGCAGGGTCTAGGGGCTAGCACAGAATATCAGTGTCCACACAGGTAAGGGTGGAATGCATCAGCTGCTTTTCTTCTTTCACCCACCCGTAAGAGAAGCCCACTCCAGGACAGACAGAAAATCAGTCCTTTCCTCTCACTGCCTGGGAAACACATATTTCCTAGTGAAAAGAAGAGAACCATGCTGTCTGTAATGTAAGTGAGACTTGCGGGGAAAGGATTTCTTGTTCTCTGAGCTGCTCTGGTATGATAAGACATAGCGCAATGGAACAATAGTGACTGTTTTACTGATTTGTCTTTGCAAAAAAGGTGAAAGACTTGACTCGACATCTGTACCTCCATTCATGGGATATAATGGACAATATGTGGGGCAAAAGCCTTGACTATTGTAAGAGCTGCCATCCTCAGCAGCCTAGATTAAACACACACACACACACACACACACACACACACACACACACTTATCTGATATGTTTATTCACTTAACAAATACTACTGAATGTCTGTCGTGGGTCAGGAAACCTGCCAGGCAGTGAGATACGATGGTGACCACACATAGAGGGGCCTATAATCTTCAGCATCAGGAAGTGATCCAAACACGGGGCCCCCCTGCTCTTATGGCTTATTAAGGCCTTCTGAAAACTTCCACCAAGGAAGAAAATCTGCAGAACAAGGTGGACTCATAAGAAAAAAGCAGAGTACCTACAAAAGAAAGTGCTAGCAAAAGGGTCTGACGTTTCAAAGCTGCTCTCCTGGGCTTACAGGGTATTTAGTCACAGAAGAGCATGGCTGTGGGGAGAGGGGGAAGATAAATTAGTTTAATGGAGACAAAAACTATTAACTTTCTGGAAATGGAAATGGTGGTAGCATGAATGTGAGTACCTTTTCTGTATCCAGAATTTCCCAAATGATCTGGTATCTCAAAAAGTTAGTTAACAGATGTTTCAAAGATCTTTCCCCCCATCTCTTTAAAAGACATTCTGGTAGTGTGTTTAAAAACAGCCCAGGTGTTTATGTATAGCTGATTCACTTTGTTATACAGCAGAAACTAACACACCATTGTAAAGCAATTATACTCCAATAAAGATGTTAAAAAAAAAAACACAAAACAGCGCAGGACTGAGATCTGGATGGTCTGGGTCTCATTCCAGTTCTGCCTCGTTACATCTAACATTTTGTCATTCAGTGACTTGACGGCGGCCGCTTCCTTGATGGGCTGATCTGACCTAGACTGAGAACGTTTGGTTTCAGTGATGTCATGAGGACAACCGCAAATGTCTGTCACTTTCACAAATGATTTTCAAGACAGATGAGGCAAGAGTTGCTTATGTGCTGTGAAAATGTGAAGAGCTCTCATTTTTAAATGTTGTTTGGTTATTAACAAGTTCTGAAATACTAGACACTGTGTTTGAACAGTCTTAGACAATGAAACTACATTGTGTTGACATGGCTTGGTATTTCCTCCTTCTATGTGAATCGTTTCACATTAATCAGGGAAAGTTATTGGCAACCATCACATCTATTTTTATCTAAAGGCAAACGGCTGCAGAATTAAAACCCAATGCTGAGCTGCTTACTATGTTCTAATCACTTAATATACAACTGCATGTAATTCTGAAGCCCTCAGTATTTACTTGTACTCCCTACCTGCCCTCTGGCTATAAGCCTGAATTTGTTTCTGTTGGATTTTTTTTTCTTAGATAATTCCCATTCCAAACATTTATGAAGTCAAGCGTTATTCGGTATCCAGTTATTTTGATAAACCAATAGAGAAAAAGTGTAGCTCAGGACAGCAATAGGAGTTTTTCAGGGAAGCAATAAGGTCAAAGAATTTACTGTTGAAGGAGTTTTGGTATAAGGGTGGGTGGACACAGTCTGTCTTTAAGAGGGAGGGTGGGGGGAAAGACCTTTAAAACATCTGTTAACTTTTTTTTTTTTTTTTTTTGCGGTACTTGGGCCTCTCACTGTTGTGGCCTCTCCCGTTGCGGAGCACAGGCTCCGGATGCGCAGGCTCAGCGGCCATGGCTCACGGGCCCAGCCGCTCCGTGGCACGTGGGATCCTCCCGGACCGGGGCACGAACCCGTGTCCCCTGCATCAGCAGGCAGACTCTCAACCACTGCGCCACCAGGGAAGCCCTGTTAACTAACTTTTTTATTGAAATACCAGCTCATTTGAGAAATTCTCAGTACAGGAAAAACACTCACATTTATGCCACCACCATTTTCATTTCCAGAATGTGGAATAACTTCATACTTTTAATTTAATGTCAGAAAAACACTTGAATGTTTTTTCTTATTGTTTTCTAGAGCTTACTGATTGCAAATCTGCCTCTTATGTTAGTTAGCTCTAAATCCAGAGTTTCCAACAGGGTATTCTACCTGACAATTTCTATTAAAAAAAAAATTCTTGTAGAATATAAAGAAATCAAGAGGACAAGGAGCTACTTGGCTCAGAATAAAAGGGGACATGATCATGAATGATTATTCCTAAGAACTGCAAAAAGACAGATTTTTTGCTGCTATTGTTTACTAGAAAGTAATTCAACTGCATTTATGAAGTATACAATTTGTACTTCAAACAACCCTTTCCTCATTTTCAGTTGTTAAAAATTTATCTGTTCTTCAAGGCCCGGCTCAAATGCCTTGAAGAACAGATAAAACCTTCTTTCCCGATTTGTTTCTCCATCTTCTGTGGCACATAGATGATTTTGCCTTGTGTTTGTAAAAAAAAAAAAAAAAAAAAAAATTACCTCCTGCAAAATTCCCTGAGACCTCATCTGTTTTGTTCACTACTATAGTTTCAGAGTCTAACATACAGAAATCTGTTGCATTTCTTTACACTAATAATGAAATATCAGAAAGAGAAAGTAAAAAACAACAAAATCCCTTTTAAAATTGCATTAAAAAAACCTTAGGAATAAACCTGACCAAGGTGAAAGACTTATGTGCTGAGAACTATAAAGCATTGATAAAGGAAATTAAAGATGATTCAAGGAAATGGAAAGATATCCCATGCTCTTGGATTGGAAGAATGAATATTGTTAAAAATGGACATACTACCCCAAGCAATCTACAGATTGAATGTGATCCCTGTCAAATTACCCATGACATTTTTCACAGAACTAGAACAAATAATCCCAAAATGTATACAGAACAACAAAGGACCCAGAATTGCCAAGCAATCTTGAGGAAAAAGAACAAAGCTGGAGGCATAACCCTCCCAGACTTCAAACAATACTACAAAGCTACAGTAATCAAAACAGCATGGTATTGGCACAAAAACAGACATATGGATCAATGGAGCAGAATAGAGAGCCCAGAAATAAACCCACACATCTGTGGTCAATTAATCTTCAACAAATGAGGCAAGAATATATGATGGGGCAAAGACAGTCTCTTCAGCAAATGGTGGGAAAGCTGGACAGTTGCATGCAAATCAATGAAATCAGAACACTCCTTTATAACATATACAAAAATAAACTCAAAATGGCTTAAAGACTTAAATATAAGACATGATACCATAAGACTCCTAGAAGAGAACATAGGCAAAAAATTCTCTGACATAAATTGTACCAATGTTTTCTTATGCCAGTCTCCCAAGGCAAAAGAAATAAAAGCAAAAATAAATCAATGGGACCTACTCAAACTTATAAGCTTTTGCACAGGAAAGGAAACCACAAACAAAATGAAAAGACAACCTGTGGACCAGGAGAAAGTATTTGCAAACATGCAGCCAACAAGGGCTTAATTTCCAAAATAAACAAATAGCTTGTACAGCTCAATATCAAAAAAAAAAAACCAATCAAAAAATGGGCAGAAGACATAAATAGACATTTCTCCAAAGAAGAAATACAGTTGAGTAATAGGCACATGAAAGGATGCTCAATATCACTAATTATTAGAGAAATGGAAGCCAAAACTACAATGAGGTATCACCTCATACCAGTCAGAATGGTCATCATCAAAAAGTCTACAAATAACAAATGCTGGAGAGAGTGTGGAGAAAAAGGAACACCCCTACACTGTTGGTGGGAATGTAAATTGGTGCAGCCACTATGGAGAACAGTATGGAGGTTCCTTAAAAAACTAAAAACTAAACATAGAGTTACCATAAGACCCTGCAATCCCAGTCCCTGGCATATATTCGGAGAAAACTCTAATTTGAAAAGATACATGCACTTCAATGTTCATAGCAGAACTATTCACAATAGCCAAAACATGGAAACAACCTAAATGTCCATTGACAGATGAATGGATAAATAAGATGTTGTGTGTGTGTGTATATATATATATATACACACACACACACACACACACACACACACATACATACATACAATGGAATATTACTCAGGCAAAAATGAATGAAGTAATGCCATTTGTAGCTACATGGATGGACCTAAAGATTATCATACTAAGTGAAGTAAGTCAGACAGAGAAAGACAACTCTCATACGATATCACTTATATGTGGAATCTAAAAAAATTATACTAATGAACTTATTTACAAAACAGAAACAGATTCAACAGACATAGAAAACAAATTTACAGTTACCAAAGTGGGGTAGTGAGGGATAAATTAGGAGCTTGGGATTGACAGATAAACACTGCATTAAATAAAATAGATAAATAACAAGGCCCTACTTTATAGCACAGGGACCTATGTTCAGTATCTTGTAATAACCAGTAATGGAAAAAAATCTGAAAACATATATATATAACTGAATCACTTTGCGGTATACCAGAAACAAACACAACATTGTAAATGAACTATTCTTCAATTAAAATAAGTAAATAAATAAATAAAATGCAGTATCATTCAATTAGTTTGCAAGATCAACAGGCTGTTTAACAGCTCCATTTCAACAGCAACAAAACATTAGCATAATTATGCATGAAATTAAAAAGATGAGTTTCATGATTTCAAGAGTATTTCTTCCATCTAGGTCTAAGTATTATTTTTTAATCTTTCTTTACTCTGACAGCCATTAAAATTAAATCTCAAAATAAACTGAACCTAGTACTGCTTCATCACATTGTATTGAACTAAGATTAAAAAAAAAAAATGAAGCCTATTCAATTACATTGCTCTCATTTAAAGTGTGACTAATAATGATGAGTTTTTAGTAAGAGCAAATATGTTATAAACACAATAATATACATTTTAAAGTCATTTATAATGTTTGTGCCATTTTAAATGATTCTTTTTTTTTTTTTTTGCGGTACACGGGCCTCTCACTGTTGTGGCCTCTCCTGTTGCGGAGCACAGGCTCCAGACAAGCAGGCTCAGCAGCCATGGCTCACGGGCCCAGCCGCTCCGCGGCATGCGGGATCTTCCCGGACCGGGGCATGAACCCGTGTCGCCTGCATTGGCAGGCGGACTCTCAACCACTGCGCCACCAGGGAAGCCCTAAATGATTCTCTTTTATTTGCTGGTTTGTGCATGTTTTATGATGCATATGTCAAATTAGTATAACAATACATTGTGACATTATAAACAAGTGTACATGCGATGGGGCTACACCCTCACACATTTTTAGGACAGGGATTTGGATTGTTCTAGGTCGAATGTCAGCCAGTGGACATTCCATGCAGTCCTCAGTTTGAGTGATACCCACAAATTTTCTCATTCATACAAGATTCCTTGCCCATTTTGGGGTGTTTTCAAGATTTATTTTAATGAGCAAAGTACTCACTGGATGTTGAAGTGTAAATATTATGGTGGATAGAGTTGGGGGACATTCTGGTGATGAATGTTAAGTTATAGGCCTAGTTGCTTCCACCATTAAAACAATTATGAAGAGTGCTGAGAAAATAAAGACAACTAATAAAACTCAAATTGCATGTCAATCAGAGGTAATCAATGATGGTGATACCACATCTTCACAAGGATTGTCCTCTTAGGAATTCTTTTTTTTTCCCCTATGGAAGACCATGTAGGGTTATGAAAGAAAGACTGAAGTGGAAGAGGGAAGCTGCTGGGAAAAATCAGGGCTGCTTTAAATGAAGAGTATTCAGGACCACTTCATGATCATGTACAATTCTGAGCCATTTTATTCCATTAAAATTTTTTAATTAATTAATTTAAGCTAAAATGAAAACCAAAACAGTTTATCCATTTTTCCCACTCTCCACCACCTTGCCTCTGGCAACCACCACTGTTCTCTGTATCTATGAGATTGGTATGTTTGGTTTTTTTTTAGATTCCACAAATAAGAGACATCATATAGTGTTTGTCTTAGTCTCTGTCTGACTTATATCATTTAGCATAATTCCCTTGAGGTATGTGTATGTGTGTGTGTCTGTTTATTTCACAATTTCTTTGTCTATTCATCCATTGATGGACACTTAATTTGCTTCCCTATCTTGGATATTGTAAATAATGCTGCAATGAACATGGAGGTGCATATATCTTTTCAAATTCGTGTTTTCATTTTCTCTGGATAAATAACTGGAAGGGAAATTGCTGGATCATTTGATGTTTCTACTTTCAATTTTCTGAGGAACCTCTATACTGTTTTCCAAAGTGGTTGCACCAATTTACATTCCCACCAACAGTGCACAAAGATTCCCTTTTCTCCATATCTTTGCCAGCACTCGTTATTTCTTGCCTTGTTTTTTTGTTTGTTTTCCAGTATGCGGGCCTCTCACTGTTGTGGCCTCTCCCGTTGCGGAGCACAGGCTCCGGACGCGCAGGCTCAGTGGCCATGGCTCACGGGCCTAGCCGCTCTGCGGCATGTGGGATCTTACCGGACCGGGCAGGAACCCGTGTCCCCTGCATCGGCAGGCGGACTCTTAACCACTGCGCCACCAGGGAAGCCCTAAAACAAATTTCTTTAGGGACTTCCCTGGTGGTCCAGTGGTTAAGAATCTGTGCTTCCACTGGTTCCATCCCTGATCAGGGAACTAAGATCCTGCATGCTGCATAGCGTGGCCAATAAATAAATAAAGTAAAATAAAATAAATAAATTTATTTATACCTATATCTTTATCTATGCCTGTCTACATACCTATCCTATTGGTTTTATTTCTCTGGATAACACTGACCGATGCAGGAATGGATTTGCATAGAGATTGGCTAAGGTTAGGAATATTGTCTATACTCGTAGAAACAAGGTTTTCTCTATGGAACGCTGACTAAAGTCATTTAAGAATCAAATCCATTAACTTGATCTCATAGGACCACCATGGTGTAACATAAGGATCCAAAGTGATGGGCCCTTGTGAGTTCCCTGGTGGCCTGGTGGTTAGGATTCTAGGCTTTCACTATCATGGCCTGGGTTCAATCCCTAGTCTGGGAACTGAGATCCCGTAAGCCGAATGGTGTGGCCAAAACAAGCAAACAAATTTAAAAAACCCAAAGTGATGGGCCCAGACCAAGACCTGCTTTTTTAATAAAGCATTTTATTCTTTAATTGAATTTTATCTATTTGTTTCAAGGTCAGAATGTGAGAACTCAGAATGCCATGAGTTATCACAGCAGAGCTCTTTGCCTCAATTTTTCATTTTAATGGCTGTCACTTTTCCAGTGACAGATCAGGCTGTTTGATGTGTCATCTGCAGAAGTGGACCTTATTTTCTATATCAGAGTTCTCTTCAAATATTGACTCTGCAAGAGAAACAAGCATTCCAAAGTCAACAAGCCAGAGTTGGAAAAATGCATTTCTTTTAAAATCATAACTACACATGACCACAAAACAGTTCTGTCTTCTTTTGGAGACCACATCTATTTCTGCTCCAACTGTCAACACCAGTTAAAATGCTGTTTCCTCTGTTCCCAGAGGAAGAAGCATTTTCAAATTCATATTCATGTGTACTCAAAGTCTTCACTAAAAATTTTATTAGAAGATTTTTCTCACAACACTGATGTAAAATTAATTAATTCCACTAAATGCATGGAGAAAGGGGCAACAGGAGTTTGAGTGACTTTTCCAGGAAGAGGTTCAAAGACTAATAAAGGATTTCTAGACTGTGATTTTGTTTCTGTATTTATTTGCATTTAAAATAAATTTCAAATAATAATGAAAAGCTTATGAGACAATGAATATATCCATGCACTATGTACCTTTCATCTATTCATTTCCCAGATCTGTGTGAGCTTTTTGAAACAAAATCAGAAAAATGTGTTTACTACATTACCATCCCCTAGGATTTTGGTTCTGCTGCTTTGAACATCAGCTACTACAGAAGGTTCTCTATATAGAACACACTTTATCTTTTCTAGGGTACAAATGCGAAATTAAACATTCTACATACTGTCACAAAAGATCACCAAATCAAACTGTTACATGAATAAAAACAAGTTGCCCAACAGTATTTACATTGTTATATAAAGTATGTATTAGTATATATATTTATTTAAACAGGAGAAAATATGGAAGAAGAGTTTTCAGTGGATAACTCAAAGGAGATGTGGGGCTGAGGGTAAAAGGAAACCCTTTTAAAATTCCATATCAGGGAGTTCCCAAGATGGTGGAGTAGGAATACCCTGAGGTCACCTCCTCTCATGGGCACACCAAAATCACAACTATTTACAGAGCGACTATTTATGACAAAGACCAGAACCTACCAGCAAAGATCTTCTACAACTAAAGATATAAAGAAGGAACCACAACGAGATGGGTAGGAAGGGCAGAGTCGTGGTATAGTCAAGACCCATACCCACAGGGGGGCAACCCATAAATAAGAGAATAATTAAAATTGCAGAGGTTCTCCCCAAGGAGTGGGGGTCTGAGCTCTACATCAGGCTCCCCAGCCTGGGGGTCCTACAAGGGAAGACAAGCCCCCAGAATGTTTGGCTTTGAAGCCCAGCAGGGCTTACTTTCAGGAGACCCAGAGGGCTGTGGGAAAGACAGATTCCACTCTTAAAAGGCACACACAAAATTTAACACACTCTGGGACCCAGCACAGAGCAGTTATTTGAAAGGAGCCTGGATCAGACCCACCTGCTGACCTTAGAGAGCCTCCCAGAGAGGCAGGAGGCAACTTGAGCTCACCCTGGGGACACAGACACTGGCAACAGCCATTTTGGGGGAACTCATTCTACCACATGGACACTGGTAATGACAAGCACCATTTTGAAATACTCCCTCTAGAATACTAGCCTCTGGACCCCACCCCAACCTACCCACCAGCCTGTAGGAACCAGTACTGGGACACCTAAGGCCAACTAGCTGGGTGGTGACACAGCCCCACCCACCAGCAGACAGGCTGCCTTAAGACTCCCTGAGCCCACAGCCACCCCTGAAAATGACCCTGGCCACCACAGAACCCAGGACCTTTTCCCACACAACAGTGCACAGGCACGAAACCCAGTACCCGTAGAGCCCTGCAGCCAGAGACCCCAGGACACAGCACCACCCACCAGTGGGTAGGCATGAGCCCCAGAATACCCTGGGCCATATATATATAGAGAGAGAATACTCCATCCAAAAGCAGCAGATTTTTTTTCAAATGCATATGGAACATTCTACAGGATATATCACATACCAGGCTATAAAACAAGTCTCTATAAATTTAAGAAAATTGAAATCATACCAAGCATCTTTTCCAACTACAATGCTATGAGATTAGAAACCATCTACGAGAAAAACAAAAACTGCAAAAAATACAAACACATGGAGGCTAAACAATATGCTACTTACCAACCAATGGATCACTGAAAAAATCAAAGAGGATATAAAAAAATACCTAGAGACAAATGAAAATGAACACATGATGATCCAAAAACTCTGGAACGCAGCAAAAGCAGTTCTAAAAAGTTTATAGTGATACAAGCTTACCTCAGGAAACAAGAAAAATCTCAAATAAACAACCTAACCTTATACCTAAAGGAAGTAGAAAAAGAAGAACAAACAAAACCCAAAGTTAGTACGAGGAAAGAAATCAGAGCAAAAATAAATAAAATAGAGACTAAAAAACAATAGAAAATATCAATGAAACTAACAGATTGTCCTTTGAAAAGATAAACAAAATTAATAAACGTTTAGCCAGACTCATTGAGAAAACAAGAGAGGGTGAAAATCAATAAAATCAGAAATGAAAAAGGAGAAGTTACAACTGACACCACAGAAATACAAAGAATCATAAGAGATTACTATGAACAACTATATGCCAATAAAATGGACAACCTAGAAGAAATGGACAAATTCCTAGAAATATACAATCTCCCAAACTGAACCAGGAAAAAAATACAAATATCAACAGACCAATTACCAGTAATATAATTTAATCAGTAATAAAATAACTCCCAACAAACAAAAGTCCAGAATCAGACCTTCACAGGTGAATTCTACCAAACATTTAAAGAAGACTAAACACCTATCCTTCTCAAACTACTCTAGAATATTGCAGAGGAAGGAATGCTTCCAAACTCATTTATGAGGCCAGCATCACCCTGACACCAAAACCAACAATATCACAAAAAAGCAAATTACACGTCAATATCACTGATGAACACAGATGCAAAAATCCTCAACAAAAAATTAGCAAACCGAATCCAATGATACAGTAAAAGGATCATACACCATGATCAAGTGGGATTTATCCCAGGGATGAAAGGATAGTTCAATATCTGTAAATCAGTCATTGTGATACACCACATTAACAACTTAAAAAATGAAAATCAAATGGTCATCTCAACATTTGTAGAAAAAGCTTTTGACAAAATTCAACATCCTTTTATGATAGAAGCTCTCCACAAAGTGGGTATAGAGGGAACATACCTCAACATAATAAAAGCCATATATGATAAGCCCACAGCTAACATCACAATCAATGGTGAAATGCTGAAAGCGTTTCTTCTAAGATAAGAAGAAGACAAGGATGCCCACACTCAGCACTTTTATTCAACATAGTATCGTAGGGCTTCTCTGGTGGTGCAGTGGTTAAGAATTTGCCTGTCAATGCAGGGGACACAGGTTTGAGCCCTAGTCCAGGAAGATCCCACATGCTGCAGAGCAACTAAGCCCATGCGCTACAACTACTGAGCCTGCACTCTGGAGCCCATGAGCCACAACTACTGAAGCCCACATGCCTAGAGCCTGTGCTCCACAACAAAAGAAGCCACCGCAATGAGAAGCCTGTGCATTGCAATGAAGAGTAGCCCCCACTCGCCACAACTAGAAAAAGCCCATGTACAGCAATGAAGACCCAACACAGCCAAAAATAAATAAATAAAATAAAAATTTTAAAAAACAACAAAAACATAGTATTGTAAGTCCTAGCCACAGCAATTAAGCAGGAAAAAGAAATAAAAGGAATCCAAATTGGAAAGGAAGCACTAAAAAATGTCTTTGTTTGCAGATTACATGATACTATACATAGAAAATCCTAAAGATGCTACCAAAAGACTACTAGAGCTCATCAATGAATTCAGTAAAGTTGCAGGATACAAATTTAATATATAGAAATCTGTTGCATTTCTACACACTAACAATGAACTATCAGAAAGAGAAATTAAGGAAACAATCCCATTTACAATCACATCAAAAAGAACAAAATACCGGGCTTCCCAGGTGGCGCAGTGGTTGAGAATCTGCCTGCTAATGCAGGGGACATGGGTTCGAGCCCTGGTCTGGGAAGATCCCACATGCTGTGGAGGAACTAGGCCCATGATCCACAACTGCTGAGCCTGCTCCGCAACAAGAGAGGCCATGATAGTGAGAGGCCTGCGCACCGTGATGAAGAGTGGCCCCCGCTTGCCACAACTAGAGAAAACTCTTGCCCAGAAATGAAGACCCAATACAGCAAAAATAAATTAATTAATTAATAAAAACTCCTACCCCCAACATCTTCTTTAAAAACAAACAAAAAACAAACAAAAACAAACAACAACAAAAAAAAGAATAAAATGCTTTGGGATAAACTGACCTAAAGAGATAAAATACCTGTACTTGTGGAAAACCATAAGACACTGATGGAAGAAAATGAAGATAACACAAACAGGTGGAAAAATATACTATGTTCGTGGATTGGAATAATTAATATTATTAAAATGACCATACCACACAAGGCAATCTACAGATTCAATGCAGTCCCTATAAAAATACCAATGGCATTCTCCACAGAACTAGAATAAATAATTTAAAAACTTGTATGGAAACACAAAAGACCCTGAATAGCTATAAACATCTTGAGGAAGAGGAACAGAGCTGGAGGTATCAATCTCCCTGACATCAGACTATACTACAAAGCTACAGCCATCAAAACAGTATCATTCTTGCACAAAGACAGACTTATAGATCAATGGAAAAGAGTAGAGAGCCCAGAAATAAACCCATACACTTACAGTCAATTAATTAATCCACAACAAAAGAGGCAATGGAGAAAAGACA